TATCATGTCTCATTCTCATATCACATTATCATGTCTCAACACATCTCATCATCACATCTCCTCATTACATTTCATCATCACATTGGCATTATCACATCATATTCACAATTTTCACTGAGCACTTTTATTCATATCAGAACTCATATATTTGCAAAGGTAAACATATATTCATACATCTCGTACAACAAAGAATACAACAGAACAATCAGAAGGTAAAACAGAAAATATTATAAATATGCCTATTTCTCATAGGGTTCCCACAGGAACCCACAGAGCAAACTAATTCATATCAAAACTTATTTATTTTCAAAATTAGACACTTATTTACACTCTATAAACATTAAAGAACACAACAGAAAATTCAAAAGGTAAAACATAATACATTTAAAATTTGCCTGTTTCTCATAGGGTTCCCACAAGAACCCACAGAGCACTCTAATTCATATAATAAACATTTAAAATAATATAATTTACTCATATAATTACTCTTTAAACAATCTCCTCTTACAATCACCAATGCATTCCCTTAGGGTTTCCCATAGAAACCCACAGAGATCTCAAATCATATATTTATTTACATATAAAAAGAGCAAATAGAAGAAACAAATATAATTGGGAAAAACTCCTCATAAAGAAGCATACAACAAATACAGGATTGGGGGCCAATCCCACTACCCAGCATACAATCCCACACCCAGAGCGAGGTTTCTCACTCCCCCCTTACCTCGATAAACAGGGATGAAACTGAAGCAGGATCTCCTCCCCCGAGTTCCCCTTGGTCTCCAGAAAGTGTAGAAGAAAAAGGTTCAAAAGTGAAAAATGCCTTTTTCTGGAGTGCCGGAACACATTTATAGGCATCAGGATTTGGCCAGAATGGCCCGTTCCAAATCCGGAACGGCCCGTTCTGGGCACATAGAACATGTACAAAAGCCTCTCCCAGAACGACCCGTTCCAAAACCAGAACGGCCCGTTCTGAGTTAGTACTTTGTTCTTTAAAACTACATCCGGAACGGCCCGTTCCCAAAGTGGAACGGCCCGTTCTAGGTTAAAATTTTACCCATGAATGCCCGAGTTGGAACGGCTCGTTCCGGAGTTATGAAAATCCAGAATTACTAATAAATAAATAAATAACATAACATACATATATATATATGTATATCAAATTAAAATAAAATATCAATATAATTTAAAACATGATTTTCTTCAAATAATAATTATAACAAAATATCATAATTAATAATATTATACAAAATAATTTTCATAAATGATTATTATTAAAAACCTTTAAAACTTCAATCAAACCCATTTAATTAATCAAAATAATTATAAGGAAATAATCTTCATAAATACAAAAATAAATAATAATTATCCGTAGTATTAGTAGAAAAATTAGAGATGTTACATTCATGGCTTCTAAAAATAAAAATTACACATGGCATTAGTGTCGACGACACTATAGTAAACAACCCCAAAGGTGTAAATAGTTTCAAAATTTACATAATTAATTTTAGAAAAAAACCCTACAATGGTCAATTATCCAAAAATTGTTATATATATATGAACATACTAACCATATCTTGCACTCATTTTATTGATAAAAGTCTAATTAATTATTTTTCATTATTAAAAATAGAGGAGTGTTTAAACGTCATCGGTATAACTTTTACTAAGTATTACAACGTTCAATAACTTTATATTAAATGTGAATTTTGTAAATTCAATTGTTAGATTAGAAGCTATTTACTCTTAGATCATATATACAAAATTTTATATTAATTCAAGATGATTTGATACATCATTCTTATAAAATAAAATTGACGTAATATATACATTTCAAAATATAATAAAATATG